CAATAACATGATCAGTCTGTTTCTATCCCCGACAAAATCAATGTTGTATAAAATAACATGGATGCTCTTTGTGATCCCATCTTTTGTTTTCTCAGCTACTGAGCTTCACACACGCTGCGGTGGCCCTTTTAGTTGCGGCGATCAGAAAGAACTCTTTTACCCTTTCTGGAACTCTGAGAGAGAAAACTGTGGCCACCCCGAGTTCAAGGTCGAATGCACCACAAGTTCTGCAGAGGTTAGCATCTCATCCGTCAAGTTCAGAATCTTAGACTCAAACTACAACACTAGTGTCGTAAGACTCGCCAGGTCGGATTACACGAGCGATTTTTGTCCGCAAAATCCAATAAATGCCCCATTCAACGAAAACGTCCTTCCATTCGCTCCTGACACGGAGATGCTGACAATTTATTACAACTGCAGCCGAGACTTTTCTCAGTTTGTTTCTACGTTGTATACTTATGTTGGAGACCTTGATTGTGAGGATGATGACAGAAAAAATTACTACGTGACGAGAAACCTCTCGTCCCCTCTACTTAAAGGGATTAGTGGCCTTTTATACGATTTCAGGGGACTTTGCAGACGTAACGTCAGTATTCCCGCCTCTAGGCTGGCGCTCAACACACTGGATAGAAGTCCGAGTAGGGATATTAGAAAGATCGTTTTTAGATCATAAAGTGAGGAAGAGGGTTTTGTGCTTCGAGGTAACCAAGAATGTTCGATGTGCATATCCTCAGGGGGTGCTTGTGGATATAATCAGACCTCAAGTAGATTCGTCTGCTATTGTATAGACGAGCAACAAAACCTTACTTGCGGTTCTAGAAAAAAGGGTAAGTTTCAAATTTGTTTTTGTTTCTATTAAAATTTAAAGATCTGTTTCCAGTGAAAACTGACCTCTTTTTTTTTGGTGCCTTTCCATAGATGCAGGCATCCATGCAGGCATCTCTCATGGAGCAATAGCAGGTGCCTTTCCATGTTCTTTCGCTGACACCCGATTTAGTTACCATATACACAACACCACTGATTGTCTTATTATGAAAATTGTTTTTGTTTTTGTCTCTAGGCATTGTGGCTTCTTCTGGATTGGTGGTGGTCGTTCTTATAGTCATAGGTTTGTTCTGTCTCATCAGCCGGAGAAAGAAAATGCAGGCAGCTCAATACACAAGCAAAGACTTGCCAATATCATCTTATTCGAGTAGGGAAACATCAAGAAATCCAACTTCCACAACAATCTCCTCACGCAGCAATCACTCTCTTCTTCCCTCAATCTCTGGTGTCTACTCTGGAGTTCAAGTCTTTAGCTATGAAGAACTTGAGAAAGCCACTGAGAATTTCTCTAGAGAGCTCGGAGATGGAGGCTTCGGTACCGTCTATTACGGTAAGAACCACTGATTTTTTCATTCTCCTTCAAATCTTTGAATTCTGATTCAAGACTCTTTCGCAATCCTTTAAGGCGTCTTGAAGGATGGGCGAGCTGTAGCAGTGAAACGACTATACGAAAGATCGCTAAAACGAGTAGAACAATTCAAAAACGAGATCGAAATCTTGAAATCGTTGAAGCATTCAAATCTTGTGATACTCTACGGATGCACATCGAGACATAGCAGAGAGCTTTTGCTCGTCTACGAGTACATTTCAAACGGAACTCTCGCCGATCATCTCCACGGCGATCGTGCTGAATCTCGTCCTCTTTGCTGGTCAGTTCGTCTTAACGTCGCAATCGAAACCGCAAGTGCATTATCCTTTCTCCACGTAAAAGGTAAACAAAACAACGAAACCGAACATCAATTTGGGGAAATCAATTTCGTTGATTCGATTTCGATATTGTTGCAGGGATCATTCATAGAGACGTCAAGACTACAAACATTCTACTAGATGAGAATCACAGTGTAAAAGTAGCTGATTTCGGTCTCTCACGGTTGTTTCCGATGGATCAAACTCACATTTCCACCGCACCGCAAGGCACTCCAGGATACGTCGATCCAGAGTACTATCAATGCTACCGTCTAAACGAGAAGAGCGATGTTTACAGCTTCGGAGTCGTACTCACCGAACTCATATCTTCCAAAGAAGCAGTCGACATCACCAGACATCGTCACGATATCAACCTCGCAAACATGGCCATCGCTAAAATCCAGAACAACGCGCTTCACGAGCTAGTGGATCCGAGTCTTGGATTCGAGAAGGATCCGGAAGTGAGGAGGAAGATGATGTCGGTGGCTGAGCTTGCGTTCCGATGTCTGCAACAGGAGAGAGAAGTCAGGCCATCGATGGACGAGATCGTGGAGATTTTGAGAGGGATCAAGGGGAAGACCGGCGAGTCACCGGATGTGGTTGACATCGAGGGAAGCGGCGGAGATGACGTTGGATTGCTGAGGCATAGTGTTCCTCCGCCGATCTCGCCGGAGACTGACAAGTGGACGAGCAGTTCGGATACGGCGGCGAGTTCATTTTGAGAGATTTATATTTAGGGTTTGTCGGTGGTACATACAGTCAGTGTTTTCCA